ATACAAGTAAAACCTTTCTAACTGTCTGAACTATCCAAAGCTCTCTGCTTTGGGAAGTGACAGATTTGCTCTCATTGGAAAGGTTAAGGAAAAGCTAGGCAATCACTTGGTAGGGTGAAGCAGAGGGATTTTGTTCAATGAATTCAACATACATTTATTGAACATCTATTATAGGCCAGAGATGGTATAGGAGTTAAAGTTCCAAACTCGAAGTTGTATTTTGCCCAGATGAAACTAAATAGAACCTCATATCTTGCTCAAAACTCCAGCTAAGACCACTGGCTAATTGGCATAAATATACTTATGATTAATTTAAAAATTATTCTTAATTCTTGTTGCCCTGAGTAACTTTGGTCACTTGCCATAAAATAGGAGCAAACTCTTCCATAGTAACCTGGATATTGTGTTCTACGTTCTCCTGTGTAAGCTTCCTTTTAGTGCAGGGAAAACAAAAAATAATTTAGTCAGCAGAATTAGGACAGGAAGCTGAAGGTTCCCAAGTACATTTTTAAAGAAAAAAAAAAGCAAAATAAAATGGAAAATAGTACCAACCACAAATATGTGAGCTGACAATCCACCTCCATTCTCTGGAACGCATCCTGTTCCAACGTGCAGAGCTCCACATTTTTGTTTTATGATTCTGGTCCTAAAGTGATTGCCCTAGGCTTAGTATTCCAAGGTAAAGAAAATGCATACAGTTTGTCAAATAGGAGATGTGCTGGGAGCTGAATGTGGGTTAGGGTGGCTTCTGTGGTGCTTGCTGAGAGCACCTACTGTGTGACAGGCAGAGCTCTGCTGTGATTGGCCAAAGTGTGTGTCAGGATATGAAAGCATTTGAAAATACTTTATCGGTGTTTTCTAACTCATAAAACCTCAATCAATATTTGCGGAAGTGTAGGGTGGTAGAAAGTCGAAACAGTGGGCAAAGTAACAGGGAGAAACCTTGGGAGTTGAAATTTAACTTTGAGCAAGTCATTTGTCCTGTTCACTAGCAAGACTTGTGCTCTGAGACAGGAGATGGCCTCCCACTGTGGTTTTCAAACACAGGTCACAGCCCATTGAGAAATCAATTTATTGGGTTGAAATCATTTAAAAAATTAAATGGAAAACTCCAGAGTGTTTTGCACATAGCAAAGGTATTATTTCATGAAACTTGTTTCATGTGAATACACATACACGCAAACACATGCACGCACACAAACATATCCACACATATATACGGAGTTGTGAAATGAAATGGATGTTTTACCATTGAGTGCCGTCAAAAATATTTGATCCTGGGACGCCTGGGTGGCTCAGTCCATTGGGTGTCTGGGATGGACCCCACATTGGGCTCTGCACTGAGCATAGACGCTGCTTAAGATTCTCTCTTTCCCTCTGCCCCTTTCTCCCACTTTCTCTCTCTCTCTCAAATAAAAAAATAACGAAAAGAAACTAAATCCAAAAGAATTAAAATTTTTGACCGTAAAAGGCCCCATTTAGCATTTGGACCATAGATATGATGCCAGAGAGAGCAAATGGTTTTGGATCCTCTATTACTGAGTTGCCATATTAATCTGTTTTTTAAAATTGTGATAAAATATACATAGCATATGGGGCGCCTGGGTGGCTTAGTCGGTTAAGCGTCCGACTTTCGCTTAGGTCATGATCTCGTGGTTCGTGGGTTCGAGCCCCGCGTCGGGCTCTGTGCTGACAGCCAGCTCAGAGCCTGGAGCCTATTTCCGAGTCTGTGTCTCCCTCTCTCTCTGACCCTCCCCTGCTCACGCTGTCTCTCTCTCTCTCCTAGAAATTAAAAAAATATATATATATATACATAGCATAAACAGACTAATTAATTAATTAGTGTTTGAGAGAGAGTGAGTGGGGGAGGGGCAGAGAGCAAGGGAGACACAGAATCCAAAGCAGGCTCTGCGCTGATAGCAGGGAGCCTGATGCGGGGCTTGAGCTCACAAGCTGTGAGATCATGACCTGAGCCGAAGTTCAACACTCAACTGACTGAGACACCAAGGTGCCCCAAGAAGATTAATGTTTTTAAATGTAAGGAACAAAGTACTAAAACTAAGAACCTCCCACCTCCAATTTGCATCCTCTTGTACCTTTGGGTTTATAATGCCTTTCCCCCTCCCCTACTCACTTTTTTTTTTTTCCTTCCTAGGTTCCTGGTCTATAACTAAGGTAAGGGGTGTATGTTTTGACTTTGATCTTACGAGACAAGCAGTCAAAGTTCCCTCTTGCTGCATCTGTGCCTGAGTTAGAGAAGAGAATGTGTCTACATGCAATTGTACGTTTCTATTAAAAATAGGTTATTAAAAACAGTTAAGCAGAAAGATTAACTAGAATCTAAATAGGCATATAATTTGGAGCAGGATTTAGAGAACTACAGGTATGTCCTCGTGAGCACATCAAAGTCTTATGTATCTTTTCAGATCTGGACATTTCGCTGTCATAGACCCCAGTCTGCTTTTATTTTTGCTTGTATTTAACATTTGCATCCTTGTTATCTGTCTTTTAAGTATGAATTCTGTTTCCCCAGTTGTCTTCTCTGTCCCCTGTCTTTTCAGAGGTCTAGATTTGTTTCATATCTGCTTATGAGTCTGCCTGACATGCAATACTTCTACAGTAAATATTAATAATAATAATGGCAACGAATTACCCTTTCCTCTCAGCCATTTTCAATAAGGAGTCATTTTTTTTTTCTTCTGTAATCAGGGTATTGAAAGCCATTAAAGACAACTTTCCTTTTCTTAAGTAATAGTTGCTTAGAACTTTCCCATTTCTAGGATTTTCCCCCAGGGGAAAAATTAAATAGAAAAATAATTGACATACTCTTTTTTAACGTTTATTTATTTTTGAGGCAGAGACAGAGCAAGAGCAGGGGAGGGGCAGAGAGAGGGAGACACAGATTCTGAAGCAGGCTTCAGGCTCCCAGCTGTCAGCACAGAGCCTGACACAGGGCTCAACTTCAGCTGAGAGATCATGACCTGAGCCGAAGTCGGATGCTCAACCAACCGAGCCACCCAGGCGCCTCTGACATACTCCTTAAAGTAATGTCTTATTGGTTGTTTCATTTTAGTGACTAAATTTTTTTCATGTTACCTTTTTAAAAAAATTTTTTTTTTTCATTATGTTAAGTGTACTTTTTAATTCTCATTCCCTACTTCTCCCATCCCCTCCTTTAGCTCCCCTCTGGTCAGCATGTTTGTTCTCTATAGTTAAAGAGTCTGTTTCTTGGTTTGTCTTTTTTTTCTTTTCTCATTCATTTTATTTTTTTTAATTCCACATGAGTGAGATTAGATGGTATTTGTCTTTCTCTGACTTATTTCGCTTAGCATTATCATCCCTAGCTCTATCCATGTCATTACAAATAGCAAGATTTTATTACTTTTTATGGCCGAATAATATTCCATTTTATCTGTACACCACATCTTCTTTATCCATTCATCTGTGGATGGACACTTGGACTGCTTCTGTAGTTTGGCTGTATAAACATAGAGGTGCATGTATCCCTTTGATTTTTTTTTTCTTTTTTGTATGTGTATCTTTTTGGTAACCACCACTAGTGCCATTACTGGGCTCCAGGGTAGTTCTATTTTTAATTTTTTGAGGAACCTCCATACTGTTTTCCACAGTTGCTGTACCAGTGAATGTAAATTTTTTAATTTGGATTTTCATAGATTCCTCCTGACCTTGGTCTCCTTAGCCCATTGCTCCATATGGTTTTAAGATTTTCACCTCAATTCTAGCCTTGTTTGTTTTTTACCATCCCACAGGACAAGGAAAGAGACTCAGCAGGCCCACTGTCTGAATTTCAAGGAGGCCTCTCCACAGCTAAGCCCCATCCACCCCATTCCCTGATTTCACTTTTTCCTTCGTAGATCCACTAAAATGCAGCAATGTTCCTGCTTACAAGATTTAAAAATATTCCTCCCTGGGGCGAGATTTTAAAGAAGGGGGGGCAAAGGGATGGGGAGGGGGTGCGCAAACCTCGTGTTACTTCCTGAAATTTAGCGCAGAAAGGGGGAAGAGACGCCCTGAAGCCAGGAAACAGATTTACATTTTAAAGGACTGTTCTGTGTCCCTCAGGGCTGGACCTGGAAAGCACTTTATCTGTAACCCTTTTATGGCCCTGCTCGTTTTCTCGCTTTGCAGCTGTTGGTAAATTTGTCTAATCTCCTTGCCTGCACTCTAAATTACCGACTAGAGGCGGGGAGAGTGTGATTGTTGGAAAGAGTTTAAAAAGTGACAAGAATTCTTTTTTATTTGTTACGCATTGCACAACCCTATAATAACAACGATGGCAATGATCATGAAAGTTCATCTACAATTCTGTGCCTCTAATAAATCACTTGTTTCTACTTTACTTTCCATTCCCTCATGCATTAAACATTATGCAAAGCACTGTGCCCGTCTTGGTTCACGTGCATTTTTTACACATCCTAAATACATACTTGCATTTTGCCTTTAATTCTTTTCCCTTTTTGCTTATTCAAAGTATTTCTGAGGCTGCAAAATATACACTCACAATATGGCTTTAGTGGCTACCTAACATTCCAACTAGGACATACACTTTAAGGAATTATTTCAGTGTAAGTATCCAACATGTAAAAAAGTAAACGCCGACACCAGCACCCTTTGTACTGCAAGGCCTGGAGGTCGGTCAAGGTTAGAGGGAGGAGGCCTCCGGGTAGCAAGGCTGCGGCCAGGGCCGCAGCGGCAGGCGGCGAGGAGGAAGCCAGTGTGGATTCCACAGCTCCTCCCGACACCTGCAGTCTTGGCGCCTTTTCCCTCCGACCACGCCCCTCCCCGCCCTTCCCCGCACACAAGCCGAGCGTCCTTGTCCCAGGGCGTGCGCACGACAAGCCCAGAGCAGTCCATTACCGAGGCACCTCTGGGGGTGTACGTGAGGCAGGAAGTGACGTAAAGCCGGGGGCGGGAGAGGTCGGAAGAGGGCGGGGCCACGCTATAAACAGCAGGTTGTGGGCGTACATCCCCCACAGAGCCTCGGCTTCAGTCTGTAGCGGTTCGGGCGGTAGAGGTCGGAGTGGGGGACTGTGTGAGTGACGCGCGGACGCTAGAATCTCGCCGACCCTCTTGGCCTCGCCTCAGCCTGCAGGGCGGGTGCGAGCGGACTCCGGTGCGAGCCCCCTGGGTGCTGTCCAACAGCAGCGAGGAGCCGCAGGGGGCGCGGGGAGGCTTGCGGCGCCTTGGGGGGGGGGTCAGGATGGAGGGGGGCCCGCGTGCGGGACTGGAAGGGGCCGCCGCGGCGTGGGGAGCGGGCTGCAGGTGCAGCAAAGTGGCGCCGCTGTGCAGAGAAAAGCTGCCCTTCTCTGCTTTTCTGCGCCCTCATCTCGGCCGCGGGGCGGCGAACGGTTTCTCGGTTTAGACTGACGGCGAGATGAGGGGTACCCCGCTGTCGCTCTGCGCCCCGCAATTCTGCTTGCGGGCGTTCCTTAGGCCACCCCTGTACCTTGTCCTCACTAGCTCGTCCTTAAAAGGTACAGGACCTCGTGGGAAAGCCAAAGGCCGCGGGCGCGGAAGTGCGAGCCACGCTGCCGCAGCGTAGACTCGAGCACGTGGCTGCTTCGGGAAGTTTCCCCAAGGAGCTGCTGTCGGGGTCCGCGGGTGACCTTGAGCTTATAGCCTTACGCTTTGTCGGGGCCTACTCTGGTCCTGGTCTCACTGCTCAGAGGGACAGAGCTGCTCTGCACTCGGTTACGAGTGTGCCCTGGGAATTTGGTATGAGCTGCTGTAAGCCCTGCGTTTGAACTCTGGTACAACCTGATCTTTCAGCGATGCCGTTGGCTTTGTGTGTGGGTTCTCAGTTTTCCCTAGGCAGAAGCTGCTTGAATGCCGCAGGTGCTGACTCGAATACTCTGGTTACTAAGCTCTCCATGCTATAAGCTGGGAGACGTAGGACTAAAACTTCTACTTTGTGAAAGCTATGGTCTGCAGGCTAAGTAAAACCTATTTAGATTGGAATTGGCTTTCCCTTTCAGGAAATTAGCAATACGGTTAAAGGGCTTGCTATATTGACAAAGGCCTTAGACGCGCATTGTGTCACTGTTTCTAGTGATGACTCTCTAATGGCGTAGTGGGTAGGGTAAGAAAATATTTTCCAAAAATGTACATATGGCATAGTACCCTTTAGCTTTTCTCTGATGGAATGAGGAATTTTTTTGTGAAGTCATGGTTGTGAACTTAGCCTGTACTGAAGATTGTTGGGTAGAGACAACCTCACCAACTCTGCCCTAAGTTGTGGCAGTTGTTTGCCTCTGATAATGTGCTTATCTATGGTGGAGCAAGGTGCCCGGCAAAACTTGAATCAGACAGTAATGAAAGCTAGTTAAATATGATCCTCTGAGGCCTTTTGTACCCCTTCTCTGTATGTGCCATTTGTCTGCTGTCTCAGATGAGCAGTGTACAGGTAGACTGCAGCAACTTCAAGTGGTCCTGACCTTTTTACTTGGACAATCTTTTTACAGAAAGCTGTATAGAAATGAAGATCCTACTTGTTTTCCTCCATGGCCTTTTCATTTTAGACCCTTAAGGCTAGAAAAGACCTTGACCATCTCTTTTCAAGTCATCCTGGGTAGATACAATTATATGTGTCCTGGGGGCCCTGCAGAAGTTTTGTAAATTCATGTAATCTTCTGCAAATGCATAGGGAAACAATTTGTAAAACGGGTAAAACGGGTATCCATAACCAATTGCTTAAGTTCTTGGAGTCCCACCAGGTAACCTTGAAAGTTTTGCTACCTTTTTTTTTTTTTTTAAGTTTATTTATTTTACTTAACTTTATTTTACCTTGAGAAAGACAGAGTGAGCAGGGGAGGGGGAGAGAATCCCAAGTAGGCTCCATGCTGTCATCATGGAGCATGATGCAGGGCTTGAATTCATGAACCTTAAGGTCAGGACCTGAGCCGAAACCAAGAGTTGGATGCTTACCCGACTGAGCCACCCAGGCGCCCCTAAAGTTTTTCTACTTTTTAAAATCTCCCTACTATCTATGCTTTGCCTCGTGATTCCCGAGTAAACCAGAGTAGTTGCAGGGATGGGAGACAATTCCAGGTCCAAGTCCAAGGTTTTCATTATATTCTTTTTTATGTTATTTCCAAATCATATGAGAAATGACCTTTACATACATTAAGCATGTCTCCATACTGTTAAAGAAATGAAATATCTTTATTCTTTTTTAATTATTTTTTTATTGTTAATTATTCTTTTTCAGTTCCATATCAGGTATAGGGTAGGGAAATCAATCAGAGAAAGCTTCATAAAGATGTTCCCTGAGCTGAGTCAAGAAGAAATAGAACAAAGGAAGGATGTTAGTAGAGGCAGGGCTGATTGTCTCATTTTGGAGAAAGTAGAGGGCAGCACTTAATAGGTAGTGAAGCTCTCTAGAGCAGAGAGCCTCAAAAGTAGGTAGAAGAACTTCGTTTCATGTGAGCTCCAAGGACTTGAAACTGTGGCCCATTTTCTAAATGGAAGTAGACTTGTCAGTAATAGTAATAAACAAGTGGCTCATTCTTATTTCAAGTAAAATGGAGCAAGTAGCAGCTTTAGGTATGTTACACATAGGTGACGGTGTATTTTGTTTAGATGATCCCCCCACTCTTAGTTGTATGTATGTGTACAGACTCCTGGTTTTGAGATACCCCAAAGTAGATTAAGACCTCAAGGTAATTACTGTGTTTAAAAAAATAGAAATTAATGCCACCTTTTAGAAAGTAGGAATAAGGTGATTTGAATTATAAAGGAGTTTAGGACTGTAGTCTGGCATACCTTTGCCTGCCTCCTGTCTTCCATCCCATGGCTCAGTTAAAAGACATTTCAGATACTCCTTCCATTTCATGTTCCAAACATATGTGACTCTGTTTTGCTTAATTTAATTTTCATTATTAATGTGAGAAACTGAATAGGTTTTCAAGTTATCATTGAGAGTACCAAAGATATACAGGGTGCTAATGTGTACAAAAATCCAGGTGGTGTTTGGTTTGTCTCTTGTTATGGATTATCAGCAATGGTGGTGACAGCTTGAAATAAGCTATAATAAAAGATGTTTGGCTTTTAGATGTCATCTTTTAACAGAACTAAATAACTATGAACAGAACTGTTTATAGACTGTGATTATAACTGGTATGAAAAGTTTCTCCCATGCTTTTAGAGCACATAAATTAGAGTGATTTTAGTTGGAAGAAAATTCAGTAAGGAGTTCTTTTAAATACAGAGCTTTATTGTGTATGAGGTCATTTTGAAAGAATGACTCAAATTTGTTATATATAAAACTTAAAGAATAACTTTTGTAGATATCCTAGAACTATCCTGTTCTCACAGATAATGGCGTTAAATTATGAAGTTAAAGTGGAATTGCCTAAGTCACTATTTTTTTCCTCTGACTTAATTCTTTTAGGTTAATAGTCTTCATTTTGTGTCTGGATATTGAAATAGAAATAACATACTGGTGTTCTCAGTAAAAACTGTACTTAGATTTTAATTATACAAAATCATAATTATATGTTCTATTAATATCTGTTTATGCAGAATTGCAATCAATTCAATCTCATCATTTAAATCCTTTATTTAGGTCATTTAAAAGTGTCACTTTAGTCTCAAAATTAATTTAAAACTAGAAACATTGAGGAATGGCTGGTTTAGATCAGCATTAAAGTTGTAAACTGGCTTTTCCTAGAATAGGGTGATTAAAATTGGTTCAGGGTGGGGTCTTCTAGTTCTGGTTCTAGTGATTGGGTTTGTAGGGTTCTGGTGCAGTGATAGTGATAAGCTTTTTGTACCAGATAGGGCATGAGACTGTGGTTCTAAGAATATGATCTTGCTTCTTGGCTCTGGTCTTTAAAGCTTGGAGATTAAATTTTTGTTGTTGTTAATAGGTTTTGAAAGGAGACTTTTCTAATGCCAGTTTATATAACATCTTTTACTTTACAATCTGCATATATCTCAGTTTGCTTTGTCACATGTGGATGTTAAATGCGCTGCAAGTGTACTTGTGTAGGAAAAGCCTTAAGATCATATGAAATAAATGACCATTTTATATATCTCAACATAATAATCACTTAAAAACATCTAGATGCACTCAAATCAATTAATTAGAAAATCCCAATTTCACTTAATACCAATGCTTTAACTTAACATAGGACTCTGTTGGTTACAGAAGTGTTTTTTTACTTTTTTTTTTTTTTTAATTTTTTTTTTTAATGTTTTTTTTAATTTATTTCTAGGAGAGAGAGAGACAGCGTGAGCAGGGGAGGGTCAGAGAGAGAGGGAGTCACAGGCTGAAACAGGCTCCAGGCTCCGAGCTGTCAGCACAGAGCCTGATATGGAGCTGGAACCCACAACCTGTGAGATCATGACCTGAGCTGAAGTCAGATGCTTAATCAACTGCTCAACTAACTGGGCCACCCCAGGTGCCCCAGAGCATGTGACTCTTGATCTCGGGTTGTAGGTTCAAGCCCTATGTTGGGTGTAGAGATTACTTGAAAATTAAAAAAAAAAAAAATCTTTTAGCAGTGCCTGGATAGCTCAGTCAGTTGAGCATCCGACTCTTGATCTCAGCTCAGGCCTTAATTAATCCCAGTGTCGTGGGATTGAGGCCCTGGTCTCTTTGCTGAGCTTGGAGTCTGCTTGGGATGCTCTCTCCCCCCTCTGCCCTTTCCCCTGTTTGGGATTTTTTCTTTCCCTCTCTCTTCTGTCTGCCCCTCTCCCCCTCTTTCTCTCAAATAAAAAATTTTTAAATCTTAAGTAATAAAAATGGTTGTCATTTATTTATTTTTAAATTTAATTTATGGATAGTTGACATACAATATATAGTTTTAGGTACACAACAGTGATTCAGAGGTTAAGATTAATTTCTTAAATTTCTGGAGATGAGAACATAATTTTCCTAACCCAGTAACCACTGAACTTCAGTTTTTGAATTATTAGTTTTCAGCCTTAAACATGACACACACTTAACATCTCAGATGGTTGGCCTCTTTGTAAAACAGCATATTGTGTTTTTCCTTTGTCTATTCTTTTTACATTAAAAATCTATCAAATCATTTGTAAAAACTGTTTAATCAGAAGGATCAGGTTTTCTCTCCTTTTATATTGGAGATGGTTTATTACTGGTTTATTACCAGTCTTTTTAGCGTGGCCAGTCTTGACTGAATTCTACTGCAGGTTTTTTTTTCTTCAGGTGCTAGTCTGTTGTCTTTTGTATTTGTCCCTTTGACTATTAATTCAGTTACTTAAATTTACCTACCATGGTAAGTAGAACCATGGTAGGAGAACTTGAAATAATAGTACAGTATATATCCATGTAGCCTTTATTCTGATTCATCAATTACTAATAGTTGCCACAATTGCTTTCTTATACACTTTTAAATTATTTGTTTTTAGTTTATTTTGAGAGAGAAAAGTGAGCAGGGGAGGGACACAGAGAGAGATAGAGAATCCCAAGCAGTCTTGCACCATCAGTGCAGAACCCTGTGTGGGGCTCAAACTCCTGAAGTCTAGAATGGGATGCTTAACCGACTGAGCTACCCAGGCATCCCTAGGTGCCCCTCTTATACACTTTTTTAAATTGAGCTATTTGAAAGGAAGTTATAAGTGTTAGGAGACTTCATTCTTTTTTTCTTTTTTTAAGTTTTTCAATTTTTTTTTTTTTGTAATCTCTACACCCAACATATGGCTTGAACTCATGACCCTGAAAGCAAGAGTCGCATGTTCTTCCAGTGGAGCCAGCCAGCTGCCCCAATACTAAATTCTTAAATTCTTGAGCATTAATCTCCTAAGAACAAGGGCATTCTTCTCAAAAAACAGAACAAATCATCATACTTTCCAGATCTAACACTGATACAATACTGTTATCCAGTAATTAGTCTATATTCAGATTTCTTGTTTTTCCCAATAATATCCTTTGTAGTTCTAGTTGTCTTCACCTCCAAGTCATTAAATTTAAATTATTTAATCACGTTAAATTTAGTTTTCCTATGAACTAAATATCTTTGTTAAAGACCCTTTCTGGGAAGATGATAATATATTTAAAAGTAAATTTGATTTATAATAATTTAGCATGGTAATGAAAACCCCTTATAACTGGTACAGTGGTATCTATTTCATATTAAATTTCTATTTTAATACTAGGCTCTTGTGTGGCAGCTCAGAATGATGGATCAAGCCAGATCAGCATTCTCTACCTTGGTAAGATATTTTTAAGTTTTATTCTTCCTTGTCACCAGTTTGTGAGAATATGAAATATAGAAAATGACTCTCACCCAGTAAACATGGAATAATATTCAAAGCTATCATTAAATATTTGTTTATGAAGTGGTGGTTTTGAGATGTAATTGCTCCTACAGAAGAAGGGTATATTCATTCTTGAGTGGAGTTAACTATGGGAAATCTTGTAAGAACTTACAGGGTATTTGGGGATTGGTAGGAAGGGGACAGCCAAGTTGATAGGATGAACTAAAAAAAAGCTGATCAAAACTTACACCTATGTTGGTAGACCTACTAACAGAAACCCTGAATGAAAAGCCTGAATGAGATGAAAAAGGCCAGTGTGTGATCTAGCCCCCACCTGCCATGGACAGAACTGGGTATCAGGAAGAATGTTGCTTTGAAAACTTCTTTTTCCTTAATATATAGCAAGTTAGGGATGCCTGGATGGCTCAGTCAGTTTAGAATACATAGCAAGTCATGTTAATGGCCCAATACCAAGTATAGTACCTAACCAAACTTTTTGTAAATGTTGCTCTTTCTTCTCTTTCATGATGCTTTCTCTCTTTTTTTCAAATCTCAGTTTGGTGGAGAACCGTTGTCCTATACCCGGTTTAGTCTGGCTCGGCAAGTAGATGGTGACAGCAGTCATGTGGAGATGAAACTAGCTGCAGATGAAGAAGAAAGTGTTGACAATAACATGAGGGGTAATCGTGCCAGTGTCACAAAACCAAGAAGGTTTAATGGATTTATCTGCTATGCGACTATGGCTGTAATCCTCTTTTTCTTGATTGGTAAGAGTGGCTATTCAAAACTTAAATGAATGTTCCTCGTGAACAACTCTAGGAAATCTGTTAATTCAGCCAAGCAAACATTTATTTTGTGCCTTTTTATATGCCATTATGCAAGGCATTAGGAATACAACAATGACTAAGACCTATGCCTGCCTTTCAGTTTGGCCTGGTGGGAGAAGAGACACACATGAATCATTTCACTGTAATGTGCAAATGTTATACTAGAAATACACACAGGATGTCTGTAGGATAGAAGCTTGGCCTAAGGATTCAAGGAAGGCTTCTGGGAAGAAAAGTTACTTAAATTTTAAAAAGGTAAACTATTGATGGACACCAGGCTGGCTCAGTCAGTAGAGCATGTGACTCTTGATCTTGGGATCAGGAGTTCAAGCCCCAGGTTGGGTATAGAGATTACTTAAATAAGTAAATAAGTAAATAAATTAAAAGGCAAGTATTTAAAATAAAGTTATAAGGTTGACTCTTGAACAACATGGACTTGAACTATGTGTGTCCATTTATATGCAGATTTTTAAAAATAAATGTTTTTTAATTTATTTTGAGAGAGTGAGAATGAGTGGGGGCAGGGCAGAGAGGAGAGGGAGAATCCCAAGCAGGCTCTGCACTGCCAGTGCAGAGCCCGATGCAGAGCTTGAACCTACGAACCATGAGATCATGACCTGAGCTGAAACCAAGAGTTGAACCCTTGACTGACTGAACCACCCAGGCTCCCCTCAATAAATATATTGGAAAAGTTTTCGGAGATTTGTGACAATTTGAAAAACTTGGCAGACCAACTGTGTAACCTAGAAATACTGAAAAACATAAGAAAAAGATAGGTATTAGTGTAAGGATACGGCACATAATGTATATAACATATGAAATATGGGTTAATCAACTCTGTTACCATAGGCTTCCAGTCAACAGTAGGTTGTAGTTATGTTTTTAGAGTCAAAAGTTATATGCAGATTTTCTGCTGTGTGGGGATATAAACTCCTAACCCCTGCATCATTCAAGAGTCAACTGTATGATTTATTAGATTGAATGGTTTAATATATAAAAAACTGAAATTCATTTTTTACTTTCAAACTTACAATTTGATTAAAACCACTATTTTCAAGGCTTAGCTGAAAATATTAAGGGCTTCTATAGGAATATATTGTCAGCTCTGAAACTTTTTATCCTTAGGATTTATGATTGGCTACTTGGGCTACTGTAAACGTGTAGAACCAAAATCTGAATGTGAGAGACCAGGAACAGAGTCTCCAGGGATAGAGGGAACTGAACCTCCAGAAACAGAAGAGTACTTTCCTGAAACACCTTCTCGCTTATTTTGGTCGGACCTCAAAACAATGCTGTCAGAGAAACTGAGTAACACAGACTTCTCCAGTGCCATCAGGTAAGCTTGGGCTACTTCACAAATTTAATCTCAATCGCTAACAAATACTGATTATTCAGAGCAGTGACAGTCTGGAGGAAAGACTTCTTACAGTAGGGGAGACTTCCCATGTTTAGCTGGAGGGTAAAGAATTAGTAAAGAATTCAAACTGTTGGATGGGGAAAAAGAACTTTTGTGAGGACACTTCTTTTTCTTTAAAAAAAAAAAAATCAGAGGTCTTTGATCTTTTTGTCATCTGGCTCTTTATAGCTTGTTGCCTGCTGTCAGACTTCCTTTGCTTTGAATTTCATCTCACCCCCTTATAAGTCACGCTGAGCTCTGCTACCATCAACAAGGGCATCAGTAGCCTTTTTTATTCTTTAGATCAGGACTGACTTGACTGCCCATCTTGATATAGAGATATCATGTCTCAAGTATTCTATGATTTCTTCTGGTTCTCATTAATCTACATACCGTTAGAAGTGTCCTTAAGTTTCTGTCCTTCGATTCTGAAGATCTTCCTTAGACACATATGTAATCCTGTATAAAGAACATATTCATCATTTACCTATTAGCTGGCTTCGTATAGATTCAGTGGTACAATGATTCTTAGTCTTAGATGAGGAATTTGGCATTTTTATTTCATTTAATGAATACTTTTGTATATATCATACCAGGCATTATGGATAACGTTAGAGTATAGTCTATCAAACAAAAATCAATAACTAATATGATGTATATATATTTACAGTGAGACCTAGAAGATCAGAACAAGGAGTAGTTTTACTTCAAAGGTGAAAATTAAAGCTGTACATCTTGAGTTCACCAACAGTAACACTTTGATTTTGCTTATTTGCTTAAAACTTACTCATTTCCCCTAAGATTACCCTAAGCAGATATATGTATTAAGATGGGGCTCTTGAAAGGAGTATACATTGGATAAAGAGGTTTTATTTATTTATTTTTTTAATTTTTAAAACTTTATTTCTGAGAGAGAGCGCGAGCAGGGGAGGGTCAGAGTGAAAGGGAAACCCAGAATCCGAAGCAGGCTCCAGGCTCTGAGCCAGCTGTCAGCACAGAGGCTGATGCGGGGCTTGAACCCACGAACCATGAGATCATGACCTGAGCCGAAGTCGGATGCTTAACTGACTGAGCCACCCAGGTGCCCTGGATAAAGAGGTTTTAACAAGCTAGTCATACATTCCTTTTGATATTGGGCAGAATTTTTTTTTCTTCTAAGTTTGTTTCTAGTCAATCTAGAAATTTGGGGTCATAGTTAATTTACCTTAGCTATGATGAATAGTATTGACTTACGCTTTTAAAACAGTTTTCTTGATATCTGAGTTCATTGTTTATTTTAAATTTTAGCTCATTTAACAGTGACTTTTTTCCCACTAGGCGGCTGAATGAAGATTCATACCTCCCTCGTGAGGCTGGATCTCAAAAAGATGAAAGCCTTGCCTTTTTCATTGAGAATAAATTCCGTGAACTTCAACTTAGCAAAGCCTGGCACGATGAACATTTCGTTAAGGTTCAGGTCAAAGGCAGGTATGTTGAAAGATGGTAAACTTAATTTTATAGAACTAGCTATTTTTAGGTGTGCTAATACAGCAAAAACTTTCAGAATAAATAATGCAAGTCAAATGCTAAATGTATTAAAGCCATTTTTTTCTCCAAGCCTGTTCTTAGCTTCAGCTTCATTTTAACTATCTTTTTTGCCAGTGCTTCAAACTCAGTGACCATGGTGGACACAAACAGTGGCATGGTATACCTGGTGCAGAGTCCAGAGGGCTATGTGGCATACAGTAAGGCAGCGACAGTTACTGTAAGTAAGGCAAAACGTGCATGAGATGGTCTTCCCTGTTGAAGAGCTCAGAATCTTATAGTTCACCTTTCTTAGGAGTTTTGGATATAAATTTATTTGTAAAATGTAACTGATCATGAGATCTTCTTCTTCTCAGCCATCCTAATGTAACTGATCATGAGATATTCTTATTCTCAGCCATCCTATGCCACAGTGAAAGTAAAATCCTAAGTCTTCCTCCAGAACAGCAGGGCCCTAAGCAATCCTACTGCTCTCTTCCTCTTTCACTCTGCTCCAGCCACTCCAGCCTCCCTGGTGTTCGTAAAGCACTCAAATGCAGGCATGCTTCCAACCTGAAGGCTTCTATAAAATTCCCCTTTCCTTCTGTGGGCCTGCTCTTCCCCTAAATACCAATATGGCCTGTTCCCTCCTTTTGTGCAAGTCTCTTTTCCAGTGTTACCTTCTTAGGGAAGTCTTCCTTGGTCTTGTTAACAATGGCCTTCCTCCAATCACTTCCCTTTATCTGCTTTATTTTTCCCCTTTTTAAAAAATTTTTATTAGTACTTACACTCCTGACAGTACTCATTTGTGTCCACACTAGAATGAAAGCCACATGCAGAGCGAGAGGTTGGCTTCATTTACTGATGTGTCATCCATAGAGCCTTGGACAGGTGTTTACCGAATGAATGCATGTATCAAGATTCTACCTTATAGGGGGACAAATACAAGTAACCATCTTGGCTGGAGTCCAGTCTTAGCTTGAACCTTTAATTTAGGCAAATATGGCCAAACTACTGCAGAAATTTAAAACATCTAGAAAAATCTATCTAGGTTTTTCAGATATGTTGAAAGATGGTCTCAGCATCTTTTTCGGGTTAAAAAACAAGTGTCTGTATGTCAGGGAGCTATCTAACTGGGTGTCTTTCAAATCAGATGAAAAGTTTTATGTGTGCTGTATTACTTTCCCTGACTGACTACCTACAACCTAGGGGTTTTGGAGGTTGGTTTTCTGTCAAACATTGAGGGTTTTAGTTCACCTCCAAACTTTCTATATTTAGATTACTTGGTTGTCAGTGTTAGTTTATACTCTATTAATAGGTTAGGAATATTATAAGACATAATTATAAGCTTTTATAAACATCTGAAAATTGACCTGTGCAAGCCACTTTATTGTAATAGATAGTACTTAACAATTTTCATACAGATTTCTTATCAGAACTTTCAGTTAAAACTTTTTTCTATGTATACCCTCAATTATCTAGCATTCAAGTGTTAGAACGTTATGTAATTGGTGTAGCCAGGGCTAGCCTAAAGTATTTATATGTCTGTTTGTCATATCCTGTTAGACTTTCTTTCCTCCCAAAATATTGGAAGCAGTATAAGAGAGATTAAATAAGAGATCAATGCAAATTAGATTAAAGGCAGCATGTGATGATGAAGATATGACTATAGGAGGCCAGAAGTCTTGATTTACTCCTCATAACTGACTAGTTTGACTAGAATTCTTACATCCTTTTAAGCTTTGGCCTCCTTTTACCGTCTCTTTTCTCTATTGGTTTGATCTCCAAAACCATCCTGTCTCAGACTATGACTATTCTAACAGCATAATGATCATTAAATCTGTCTTTATTCTAGGGTAGACTGGTCCATGCTAATTTTGGCACTAAGAAAGACTTTGAGAATTTAAACACTGCTGTGAATGGATCTTTAGTGATTGTTAGAGCAGGGAAAATCACTTTTGCTGAAAAGGTGAGTAAGTTATTATATACACTAGTATCATACCATTCTTTCTTTAAGTGGTATTATTGGTTTAAATGTTTTTTCACATTAGGGAAACCATCAGTCTTAAATTCTCATACCTAATAATATGCTTGAATTTATTTTTTATTTACTTATTTTTTAATGTTTATTTTTGAGAGAGACAGAGCTTGAGTGGGGGAGGGGCAGAGAGAGAGGGAGACACAGAATCCAAAGCAGGCTCCAGGCTCTGAGCTGTCAGCACAGAGCTCGATGTGGAGCTCAAACTCACAGACTGGGAGGGAGATCATGATCTGAGCTGAAGTTGGACGCTTAACCGACTGAGCCACCCAGGTGCCCCTAAACTTGAATTTATTAAAGTATTCAACAAATCAAATAAGTTCCAATTATCTAAACTATAAGATACTCCCAGAACTATGGCATAGCTGTCATCCACTGTCTTTCAGTGGAAATGAGGTAATCAGAAATGCTTAAGTGAAAGCAGTTTAGAATAACAGTAGTCTGTTATATAGAATTGCTAAATTATTGTTAAATTAAGGTGCTTTAAATAACCAAAGTTTATGTATATATAGAATTCAGTTATAACTATGTTTTTTGAAAAAGAACTAAAAGTCAGACCTACAAAAGGGTCTAGAATGGAACATACTAAAAGGCAGTGGTGTTGGATGGGTTTTTATTATTTCTCTTATCTTTGAAACTCTAATGAGTTAGTTAAGGGAAATATTTCTTCTCAACATGTGAGCTATTTGCAACATTTGGGAGTTTCAGTGCAGTCCTCTGTAAACTTTTGTTTTTTAGTATAAAGCCCAAAACGTCTTCTAACTATGATTACATCTTCATTTTCTGACCTGTACTATTTTTCTTTAGGTTGCAAATGCTGAAAGCTTTAATGCAATTGGTGTGTTGATATACATGGACCAGGCTAAATTTCCCATTGTTAATGCAGAGACTCCATTCTTTGGACATGTGAGTTCTTACATAAATGAGTTTTTGGGTTCTGTAAATTGTTGCTGGATTCCATCTGCAGTAGTTGATGTATAACATGCCTTCCTTATTAAGTACTCTTTTTTTTTTCCAAAGAGGGTCTTAGCAGTAACAAAAAGATGGATTATGGGACTTTGAGACCTAGTTATTATTGCTAACATTACCTTTTCAATAGCGTCTCCATATGCCATTGCCCAAAAACATAAGCGTCACATATTTTAGAGCCACTCAGACTTTCACGCTTTGAGTTGCTAAACTAACTTTAGGCTACACCCTCATACTGAATCTGAATCTTCTAAGAATTTTCTTAGAAATGTCTGACAGAGCACATTGCTCTTTTGTTTACTAGGCCCATCTGGGAACAGGTGACCCGTATACACCTGGATTCCCTTCTTTCAATCATACTCAGTTTCCACCATCCCAGTCATCAGGATTGCCCAATATACCTGTCCAAACAATCTCCAGAGCCACTGCAGAAAAGTTGTTTGGGTAAGTTCTTACTTGAAAATTGTCTTATTTGAAAACTAGTTTTATGAGTAAAAAGGAATCTGTTCAAGTTAATTTGATAACATTTTTAAAAAATTTTTTTAAAGTTACTTTGTTTTTGAAAAAGAGTGCACACAAGCAGGGGAGGGGCAGAGAGGGAAGGAGAGAAAGAGAATCCCAAGCAGGCTCCACCCTGTCAGTGCAGACCCCTCTGTGTGGTTTGAACTCAAAAACCATAAGATCATGACCTGAGCTGAAGAGGTGCCCTGATTTGATAACATTTTAGATATTTGGCTATAGTTTTCCATATTTGGCATCTCATGTGGACAGCTCTTACCTTGGTTTAAATGAACATGAATTTTTTCCTCCATAAAGTGATATTAAACATTGGATTTATAAACTCAGTGAGTCCTTGTTCAGTTTACCCAGTGAATTCCTTGCGTACTATTCCTGGCGTAGCTTCTACTTCAGGACTTCCTGAGGGAAAGCACTTTGTTGCCCTTGGCAACCCATTCAGTTATTGGAAAAGATCTGTTAGAATTCATGTAGAACTAAAATCTTATTCTCTGTAACACCCATTAGTTCCAGATTTTCTTCTTAGCAACAATTCAAGTTTTCTTGTCTATGAAATATCTTCAGTTCTCATGACAGATTCCAGATGCTTTAGTCATTATTAGTCCTGGATATCCTCCCTAATGTATTAGTACCTATCTTTAAAAATAGGACCCTGTCTGATTAGAGTACATGTCATTAGTTTTTATCTTGATCTAGACATATTTCCCACCTGGTATTGGTAGAGAATGTAGATCTAGCCTCAGACACTTAAGTGTGCATTTATTTGCTGTGTGATAAAGAACAGGTTACTCAAATCTCAAAGATCCAGTTTCTTTGACTTAATTAGATAGCTAAAATATATTCTACTTAACAGGGTGACTGATTTCAAATGAAGAGCATCTACATATAAGGATACATGTGTAACACCGTGTAACTATTAACCATGCTATCTATGAACATTTTTTAAAGTTTATTTAGAGAGAGACTAGTGCTTATGTGTGGGGGAGGGACACAGAGAGAAAGAGAGAGAGAGAGAGAGAGAGAGAGAGAGATTCCCAAGTGGGCTCCATGCTGTTAGTGCAGAGGCTGACACAGGCTCAATCCCGCGAACCATGAGATCATGACCTGAGTAGAGATCAAGAGGTGGACACCTAACTGACTGAGCCACCCAGGCGCCCCACAAGGCATTTTAAAAATGGTGATTTTTATTGACTTATACCAAACTTTGAATCAGATCATTCTTACCACCGACTACAAGTCTTGCCTAACCTGTGAAGCCAGCTCCCTGTCTTATCCTTGTGTAGTGTGAGGTTATAATGTTTTGACATGTAAATAGAGCAGTCATTGTTTGGGTAACATGTGGAAATAGATGGGGAAGATATCTGTCAGCAGCCTGAAAATATAATTAGAATGAAAATGTATACTAGTTAGTGTGGAGAATCAGGAAACATGGGAATATACTCTTGGGCTTTTATATAAAAACTTCATTCTGAGTCCATCTTGGTATCATGTAATGATCATGTAAATGATCACTGTGTCTCTGGCAGAAAGGCACATTTCAGATAAGGATAGGTAGAGAAATCTTTTTTAAAACATAGTTTAAACTAGGAGATCATTGATTTTTCAATAATTGCCTAAAATTGGAGTAAGACACAAAATAGCCACCAAGGAGTAAATTTTGTATACGTTTTCTTTATATGTCCTCGTAGCCTAAAACTTCACTGGACGGTAAGACTGAATTTGTAAACCCGAGGGAAGCTGTAATAACTCAGAACTCTAATGTCTGTTTTCTACTTCATAGATATATGGAAGAAGACTGTCCTTCTACTTGGGAAACAGATTCTTCTTGTAGGCTGGAAACCTCACCGAACATGAATGTGAAGCTCACTGTGAACAATGTGCTGAAAGAGATAAGAATTTTTAACATGTTTGGAGTTATTAAAGGTTTTGAAGAACCTGGTAAAGACCCTTTGTTTTGTTTTGTTTTGTTTCTTTTTTCTTTTGTGAGCTTGTTTCTGTTTTTCCTGGTTCTTAAGAATATAGCCAGAAGAGAGAGTGCAGGACAGCTGGCTTTGGTTTGGTTTGGTTTTGTGGAGTGCTCTGGTCTGTCCTACAGTTACCTGTTTAATTGTCAGTTTTATTGGGAGGTAATAAGGCCTTAGGAAATTAACTTGTCAAAAACTGACCATTTGACTAGAGAATCTCTTTTAAGTTATTGAATAGATCAGCAGTAAGCAAACTACTTAAGGGGGCAGATAATAAACATTTTGCAGGATATACAATCTCCATTGCAACTATGTACTTAACCCTGATGTAGCATGAAAATAGCTATAAACAATACATAATGAATAGGCATGTAGGTTGTGGTTTATTGATCCCTGGAATATGCAATCTTTCTATTTAAGTAGAGTCTAATAGTCATACCATTTAGTAAGGAAAGCCCTTGGACTTTGGTTGCTTATTAAACAAGTAGTACAAATTAGTAGTCAATAAGTAAACTAGTTGGTAATGTGGAAAAAGAGTAGCAATAGAGATTAGTATTGTCATGTGAATTTTTAATTTCTGGAGTCATAAGTCAGCTATGAAGTAAGGTTCTCTTAGCCTTAATGCATATATTGCATTTTTTACCCTTCTTACTAACATGCTAATTCTACAGTTTAAAGTTCAGTATTAAAACACAGTTTAAACACTGTATAATTTATCTTTTTTTTTTTTTTTTTTTTTAAAGATCACTATGTTGTAGTAGGGGCTCAGAGGGATGCCTGGGGCCCTGGAGCTGCAAAATCTAGTATAGGAACAGCTCTCCTCTTAGAGCTTGCACGGATACTCTCTGATATGGTCTTAAAAGGTAGAGTACAAATTTTGAGAACTTGAATATCTATTTGGTATATATAGTTCTAAATATTATATGCTTTCTCACTGTTGCCCATATTATTGTAATTCACTTGTGCTGGACTGAGTTTTAAGTACAAAAGCAGATCATCTTTTGTTGGATCTGTCTTTGACTTTGAAACAGCTTTCCATGCAGTGTCTTCTTTGCACCGGGAATCAGCTTCGTTGAGACACTCAAAGTGTTGTACTGGACCCTAGTTCTTAGTTTGACATATTCGGAATGATGTGGCAAATCTAGCATGGTCCCTAAGGAATCTATTTTAAAGCAAACAGTGACAGACTTCTATATTAATTTTCTGTAATTCTGTTTTAAAATTATAATATGTGGGGCGCCTGGGTGGCTTAGTTGGTTAAGCGTCCGACTTTCGCTTAGGTCATGATCTCGCGGTTCGTGGGTTTGAGCCCCGCGTCGGGCTCTGTGCTGACTCCAGCTCGGAGCCTGGAGCCTGTTTCAGAGTCTGTATCTCCCTCTGTCTCTGACCCTCCCCTGCTCACGCTGTGTGTGTCTCTCTCCTAGAAATAAATAAAAATATTTAAAATTAAAAAAAAAATTATAATATGTAACTTGGTGCATTATATAGATGTTATCCTGGATATGTTTTTATATATTTAATATATAAACACTTTCAAGCCTTTCTCCCTTGATACTTGCCCCTCATCTACACATGCCCACACAACATGCAAAACCCTATTACATTCTTGAATCTTTGGACCGTAGGGTCAGTTGCAGTGCTGATTAGCTTTTATGCATAAGTACATAATACAGAAAAGTGCATTCCCAGGAAAAGGGGACGGGTGGAGAGGAGCTGTTATTAATGTAATTTCTCTGAAAATTCTTTTTTATGACTTAAATTTGTAAATACTCTGTTTCATAACAATTGTAAAGTAACCCAGTGTTTTCAGTGACTGATTTGTATGCAGATTCTTTTCAGAGAAGAGATACATTGTAGTTAAACTGGGATTCTATTTTATTTTATTATTTTTTTTTAATGTTTTATTTATTTTTGAGAGAGATAGAGACAGTGTGAGCAGGGGAGGGTCAGAGAGAGAGGGAGACACAAAATCTGAAACAGGCTCCAGGCTCTGAGCTAGCTGTCAGCACAGAGCCTGACGCGGGGCTCAAACCCACGAACCGTGAGATCATGACCTGAGCCGAAGTCGGACGCCCAACCGACTGAGCCACCCAGGCGCCCCTAAACTGGGATTTTAAATATCTCGTAGTGTAGAACTTAAGGGACTCAAAAAATGGAGTTGAAACAAAAGTGACTTCCTGTAAAAACTGGTCCCTACTATGTATTTGAAATCTTACCTACAAATGTTCTCCTTTCCCTTCTTTGTAGATTACCTTTAAATTTTATTTTTATTTTTTTGTTCTTTCATCTGGGACCTCAAAAGGGAAAGAAATATTTTTGAATCTGTTGTCTTGAATTAGAAATTTCTGATTTCATCTTAAGTGAATTGCATACCCATAACTTTTCCCAAGATAAAAGTTTTTGTTATCTTTTAGGTGGCTTTAAACCCAGCAGAAGCATTGTCTTTGCCAGCTGGAGTGCTGGAGACTTTGGAGCTGTTGGTGCCACTGAATGGCTCGAGGTATTAATCTGTATATCATCCATACCCAGAATGGGCACCTGCACTTGCCCTTGGCTTCATTTGTCCTACAGAAACCAGGCTCTTTTAGATTTGATTACAGTGTGTCCTGAACAAGACAAGTTTGAACTGTGCAGGTCCACTTACACATGTGGATTTTTTTTTTTTTTTTAACAAATACAGAATAATCCTTAAAAAAATAGTTAACGTCCCTCTAAATGCATTTTCTGGTACAATATTCTTAACATTTTCTCTAGGTTACTTCGCTATAAGAGTACAATATATAATACACAAAATATGTGTTAACTCTTTGTTCTTGGTAAGGCTTCTGGTCAAGAAGGAGCTATTACTAGTTCAGTTTTTGGGAGGTCAGAAGTTACATGTGGATTTTCAACTGCATAGTGGGGGTGGTCAGCGTCCCTAACCTCCCACATTAGGGAAGTCAACTGTGTATCATTTTTGCCTTTGCATATTTAGTGTCAATAGACTCTAAATTTAAAAAGACGTCCCTAATAATAGCTACTCTATGTGACAGATTTATACATATTAGTACATTTAGTACTTTTCCTTCTCTTCTAGGGATACCTTTCCTCCTTGCATTTAAAGGCTTTCACTTACATTAATCTGGATAAAGCTGTTCTTGGTAAGTATCCTTTTCATCAGCTGTTAATGAATTCAGATAAACTACTTACAAAACGGAAGAAAGCTGGGATGCCTGGGTGGCTCAGTTGGTTAAGCATTTGAGTCTTGATTTCAGCTCAAGTCATGATCTCATGGTTTCTGAGTTCAAGCCCCAAGTCGGGCTCTATGCTGGCTGTGTAGAGCCTGCATGAGATTCTCTTTGCCTCTGTCCTTCTCCAGTTTGTGATCTCTCTCTCTCTCTCTCTCTCTGTCTCTCTCAAAAAAAAAAAAAAACAAAAACAAAAAAAACAAAAAACTGCAAGCAAATAGAAGAAAGCTTTCTAAAGCAACACTTGTTATTTTTTTTTTTTTTTTACAATCTACATTGTCCATTCCCTGATCAAAAGACTGACTCAGCTTTCTCATTGTAGTCCATTAAATTAGAGAATAGGTGCAGATTGCCTTGTCTAATGCAGCCGTTTTCAGTGTGGTCCTCAATCAGCGGCATTAAGATCACCTGGGAACTGTTAGCAGTAAAATTTCAGGTTCTACCCCATACTTTTTTTTACTTAGAAACTAGAGCATAAGTTCAGCAGACTGTTTTAACAAGCACTCCAGGTGATTCTGATACACTAAAGCCTGAGAACCACTAGTCTGGATTATATTTTAGACCAGAAGGAACTAAACTGTACAATGTAAAGTGATACTTCTAGAGACTAATTTCATATTTTGCTAGATTGTGGTATCATGAATAGAAATACCAGATAAACTTCTAAAAGAATTTGAATGTTATTAGAAGTACAAATGTAGCCAGTGGATGAACTGAGACTAGTAGAATATCTCAATTGAAAGAAAAAGAAAGGAATTAAAATTGAACTAAATCTAGGGGTGCCTGGGTAGCTCAGTCTTGATTTCAGTTCAGGTCATGGTCTCCTGGTTCATGGAATTGAGCCCCATGTCAGGTTCTCAGTGCTATCAGCTTGGGATATTATTAAAATATCCCAATAGGGATATTATTAAAAAATAAACATTTTTAAAAAATTGAACTAAACCTTTATTAGGTTAGCTGTTCTTGCCATTTTACCTGTACAGCAGAATGTATGGAATATAGCAAGAGTAGCTAGCAGATGACTGCCCTAAGATAGGTGAACTGAAAAAGAACCAAAAGACAAAGCATTAACATTAACATATGCAAACTCATGAGTAAGATCTTCAGTTCAGTCAAATTAGAGTTAGCATTTACTAAAGAACTTGACTTTTAAATCACTTTTTTGTCTACTTCTTGAAGAGTATAGTCTTATTTGCCACTGATCTAGGTTATTGTCTTCCTCTTTTGTCAAGTACTTTTAGTTATAGAAGTAGCCATGTAAAAATTACTTAACTAGAAAAGGAGCAATGTTCAAATCTCTTTGCAGGTACCAATAACTTCAAGGTTTCTGCCAGCCCACTGTTGTATTCGCTTATTGAGAAGACGATGAAAGATGTGAGTGTATACCTAATTACAAAATCTATAACTTCATTTTTTTCATCTGATTATGTAAAGTGAAGCATTGATGTTTAAACCATCATCATAAATAACCAAGTACAAAAATTAGAATAAATTCTATAGCAGCATTATTTAAGTCATGCTGTTAGCTTATTTGCCTTTGGTCCATTGAACCATGTGAGGGTGAGGATAAACTACTTGTTTACTCTGTAAATAAGGTGAGGGAATGCTAGGAAGATCTCCAACAATGTGTAGTCTATTTAGAAATATTGCAGAATTTCCTGCGGCCTAAGGTGTATTGGAGGTGCCCACTGGGGGCTGTCTATAGAGTCAGAATGGTAAGGAAGCTTTAAATGAACTTGAGGGATACCTAGCTGGCTCAATTGGTAGAGCATGTGATCCTTGATCTCAGGGTTGTGTGTGACTTCAAGCCCCATGTTGGGTGTAGAGATTGCTTAAAAATAAAGTCTTAAAAAAATATGAAAATATGGGGCGCCTGGTTGCCTCCATTGGTTAAGCATCCAACTTCATTCAGCTCAGGTCATGATCTCAGTTTGTGAGTTGAGCCCCCATGTCAGGCTCTGCTGACAGCTCAGAGCCTAGAGCCTGCACTGGATTCTGTCTCCTCTCCCTGCCCCTTCCCCACTCAAGCTTTGTCTCTCTTTCTCAAAAATAAACATTTAAAAACATTTTAAAAAATAAATGAACTATACCTAATACTTAAATAAGAAGACCAGATGAGATATTCACCGGATGAAGACAAACATGTGAATGACCATAGTTTTGCAATAGGGAGGAGTAAGATTTGACTAAATGGGCTTAGAGGCCATATATTGGAATGATTAAAAATGGAGGAAACAAGGCTTTGATCCTATGGGAAATTAGGAATTGCTATAGAGTTTCCAGCAAGACAGTAATGTGTTTGCAGGTTAGGCTGCAATAGTATAAAATGTGCTAGAAGGAAACAGCCAGAAATAAGACAGGCATAATGAAGACTAGAAAGGGCTTTTAAAACTGTGGCTAAGCCACCTTTAAAATAGTTAAAGGAGGAAAACATTTTTTTCTCTCACTGTAACTAAAGGAACTGGCAACATGAACCTAGTAGGAATAACTTTAGAAATTGGAGATTGTTTTAGCTGTCTTAAATTTTTTTCAAGAAGATACAATAAAAATGTTTTTATAACTGTTTACAGATCTAAGTATGTTTGTGACTAGTCTGAATGACTGATCAGAAAGATTTATTTTAGTGACTGATTAATTTTTTCTTTATAGGTGAAACACCCAGTTACTGGGCAGTCTCTTTATCGGGACAGCAATTGGATCAACAAAGTGTAAGTTGAGAAAGTGAATGAACAACTAATAAAGCAGAATCATCCATCTCTGCTATGTTAAGTAGAGATCTAAACTTAACCTTGCAGTGAGCTTACCACCTATGCTCAGAGGCAATTTAAGAATTTATTTGGGGATAGGGGTAGGGTTGCATGATAGCACAGGTTGTTCTTTAGAAAACCTAAAGACACATTCTTGCTTTCCTTGCAGTGAGAAATTTTCTTTGGATAATGCTGCTTTCCCTTTCCTTGCGTATTCTGGAATCCCAGCAGTTTCTTTCTGTTTTTGTGAGGTAAGTCTGAAGAAGTCTCAAGTTATATCTTAGATCTTCTTCCATCAGTTTTGAGACCAGATTTCCTAGAGTGCTTCAAATGTCAGAAGTTATACACCTGCAGTTATTACATGCTCCCTTATTACCAGTCTTAACGTGGCATTGTTCTCAGCTAATTAAGCAGTGGAATTTATTGGCTTAACCATCTTCACTTATGTATGATGAGTATTAATAACAAGGCTACCTACTGAACAGTTCAGGTATAGAATATTTCCACCAAACAGAAAGTTAAACTGTATCTTACTATTCTTGATACCTGTTGAAATATGGTTCTAGATGTTTATCCAAAAATGCTAAATCTCCTAAACCAGTTACAAGGTTGTTGTTTATGAGACAACTTTGAACTGACCCAGTTGTAGGAAAGCAAGACTGGCTTGTTTCAGGAGTCAGTGGGAAGGCCCTGAAAGCCACAATGAGTAAACAAAATGAAGGCTTCTGTGTTAGAAGCTGGAGAGCCAGCCCTGTAGTGGGTTCTTCAGGCGGTGAAGAGATCCTTGAGTTAGTGTAGGAGGTCAGGGGGGAAGCTGTTGACTTTGGCATCAAAGTTTTGAGGCCAGGTCCTCACAAGACTTGCCACTGGGTGTTTTGGCCTGGAAGTAGGAGGGGAAAGGTCTTGAGTGAGGGAGTGATGTAAGATCTGGATTCGGGGATTAATACGGCTGGAACTCCTTTGACCTTCTGCTAGAACAGCAGTATGGATGGCATTGAAATACCTGGTCACAGTATCTATTTAGGAACAACTGAATGTCAGGTCCTAGGGTTGTGGAGATTTATGGATGATTTCTTTTGACCTTAAAGGTTTCTTAAAAACTTCTTAGATGTCAAAAACTTACCAGGTGATACAGAAGTGTATAGTCTGAAAGTAATTGAGGTCAGATCAAATGATTGGCAGTGAAATTGTCACCAAGGACAATGGTAGGAAATAAAGTTGAAAAAAAGGTAGTTAAATTGTCTAATGAAGGTGGAGAGAAGTTGTGAGCATCAGACATTTTTGTTAGAAAGGTAACATGTATGAATGGGTGAAGTGCTGAATCATTTGGAAGGAGGTAAATTTAGGTCTAAGTGTGATGCTTTATATCAAAAGCACACTTTATACATGCTCCTCTATTTCTTTATTTAATGGACCAAACTTCCCAGAGAAGAAAATAAGGATACAACCTCAAGAAATTTGGCTAGAATCTATTCAGGGTATATGATGTGATGGGACAGATTCCGTAGAATCTAGAAGTAGGCACTCTAGGAGTAGGTCAGGTTCAGAGGAAGTGGCAAAAGTGGTATTAAAGTAATGGATGTGAGATAAAATTGGAGTAGGTATATATTAGAAGCAAGGGAAGAATTGCAACTGTTACTACCTTGGCAGAGAAAATGAATGTGAGGCTCCTACTTTTATGACCCTCCTTTGAGTACATTAACCTAGCTTTGTTTTTCAGGACACAGATTATCCTTATTTGGGTACTACCATGGATGTCTATGAGAAACTCAGTCAGAAAGTTCCTGAGTTGAACAAAATGGCACGTGCAGCAGCAGAAGTAGCTGGTCAGCTTATAATGAAACTTACCTATGATCTTGAATTGAACTTGAACTATGAGATGTATAATGACAAAATACTTTCATTTGTGAGGGATGTGAGCCGATTCAGAACAGACATGAAGGTAAGTAGTAATTAAAATCAGGTTCTTACTGCTTAAATATCAAGCAATTCTGATAGTTAGCTGTTCCTGAGAAAGGACATGATTGGTAGCCAAAGTACATTTTAAGGTGAACTGATGTATAGTTTTTCTTAGAATTTATAATTCATTTGAAAGGAAAGTTTAGAGGCTGTGGGTTATAAATCTAAGATATACCACACTAAATATTTCAGAGTCTAGAACTGTGTTAACTTTTGTTAAGGTATGTTAGGTTTTTGTAATTCCGGGCAACCTGTAAAGAGAATCCAGAGAGTACAAAGATCTTAACCATGACTTTGAACCTATGAGTTTGGGCCATATATCATAGCTGCCTTTCAGAGATGTCACGAATGGAGATATAACATAGTAATTACAGTCTTAGTGTTGATCCTACGTGCCTATTATTCAAATACTTGATAAAATCAAATCACAATAGGCGCCTGGTTGACTCAGTTGGTAGAGTGTGACTGTTGATCTTGGTTGTAAGTTGGAGCCCCACATTGGGTGTAGAGATTACTTAAAAATAGAATCTTTATTTTTTATTTTTTTTTTAAACATATTTTATTTATTTTTGATAGAGAGATAGAGATAGCATGAGCAGGGGAGGATCAGAGAGAGAGGGAGACACAGACTCTGAAACAGGCTCCAGGCTCTGAGCCGGCAGTCAGCACAGAGCCCGACGCGGGGCTCGAACCCACGAATCGTGAGATCATGACCTGAGCCGAAGTCAGACGCTCAACCGACTGAGCCACCCAGGCGCCCCAAAAATAGAATCTTTAAAAAAATCAAATTAATATTAATATGGCTTCTAACTGGTTTTATGGTACTAGAAGTCAACAGAGATCCTTAAAGTAAATCACTGATAAACAAATCTTAATGATTATGGCTTTCTTGAAACTTGAAACTAATTGTGACTGATCAGAAAATAGGAGTTATGAGACAAGTCACTAGCTTCTGAAGTTCACTGAACCAAAGTGTTTTCAAATTTCCCCCCCACAGGGAAATTGAACTGGAAACAATATACTACACAGAATATATATTCCATGAATTATGTTAAATTTCTCCCTGAGGACAGCTTCCTTATGACACTAAGAGTGGATAATTGTGCCATCTATTGGACTCAAATATGAGTGTACTACTCTAGTTTATAGAGCGTGGGCCCTCCTGGGCAAGGTGCCGAAGTCTTCACCTTGTCCGCGAGCCACCCCCTTTTACCAGAACCAGCTCCCTTGCTACCACTAAATTAGAAAGGTATAGAATAACATCCTTAGAAATACAACCTCTACTAGGGAATGTTTTGTCTTTCTACTTTAGGAGATGGGACTGAATCTACAGTGGCTGTATTCAGCACGTGGAGACTTTTTCCGAGCTACCTCCAGGCTGACAACAGATTATAGGAATGCTGAGAGAACAAACAAATTTATCATGAGGGACATCAATGATCGTATCATGAGAGTAAGTAAACTCCTAAGAATAGAAAACCAAAGGATGTTAATTTTTAACTAGTGAGCCTTGCATTTCTAAAAAGCACAGTAATAACTCTCGGAGCCTAGCATCCGTTGCTGCTTTAGAACTAAGCATAGATTTTTAACTCTTACTTACTAGTAAGATCTAGAGCCAGCATCTTTTTTTTTTTTTTTTTAATGTTTTATTTATTTCTGAGAGAGAGACAGCATGAGAAGGGGAGGGTCAGAGAGAGAGGGAGACACAAAATCTGAAACAGCCTCTGAGCTAGCTGTCAGCACAGAGTCTGACATGGGGTCCGAACCCACAAACCGTGAGATCATGACCTGAGCCGAAGTTGGACGCTTAACCGACTGAGCCACTCAGGCGCCCCGAGAGCCAGCATATCTAAGTGGGAAATACAAGAGACATGTGCCCCAGTATTAACCTTTTTTAAGATTTTAAAAAACATTAAGAAGGGATGATGATTTTTAGCTGTCATTTTCTCTGTATTTCTGTTCTCTAATTCAGCCCTCAACTGCTTTTTTTTTTTATCTTAATCTGCCTGGAAGATGCAGAAGACTTGTTACAGTGGAAGCTTGGAAATTTTCCATATGTGTGCTCCAACTTAAAAAAAAACCAATACAATTGGTTCATTTTTACAGAGGAATTGACCTGTTTACTTTATAATTTTAATGGTAGAAGATTAGTAGCATGGTTCTTCACGTTGCTCAGTTGGGTGAATTTTCACATTTCAAGTGAGAGAATGGCCGTTTTACAGTGTCAGGTCTTTTCCTCACAGCAGAAGTCCCAGCACTGTAAGTTCTCACATATGTTTTGTTTCCATAGGTGGAGTATCACTTTCTCTCACCCTATGTATCTCCGAGGGAGTCTCCTTTCCGACATATCTTTTGGGGCTCTGGCTCTCACACCGTGTCTGCATTACTAGAGCATTTGAAACTGCGCCAGGAAAATAACAGCGCTTTTAATGAAACACTGTTTAGAAACCAGTTAGCTCTAACAACTTGGACTATTCAAGGAGCTGCAAATGCCCTCTCTGGTGACATTTGGGACATTGACAATGACCTTTAAATGTGATACCCATAACTTATATGAGAACAGCAGGGTAGTGTGATTTCTAGACTTGTGCTGGTTGTGCTAAATTTTTAGTAGGGCTATAAAACCTAATATTGTTAAAATTCTACCCAACCATCTTGGTACCACTAGATTTCTTTAGGCAGCAGCTTTTAATACAGGGTAGGTACCTGCACTTCAAGTTAAAGTGAATAACCACTTAAAAATGTTCATGATAGAATCTCTTCTCTGATTTTCTCTAAAATTTTAAATACATTGTATGGTAACTGCCTCTTTCTTGTTACAGTTATGACAAAGTCAGAACCAGTAACGTAAACTATTGCTCTAAACCCTAAGGACATAAACTGGTATCTTCTAAGTGGGAGGAGGAAGGTGGTATCTGCTGGAGGCTGAAAGTGGTAGCTTAGTGGGATGCTCTACCTGCACTTGATGCTGGATAGGAGATACCAGGTTGTAAGACCTTATTCTCCAAATGAGATACATGCCTTCCCTAAGGATTTAGCTGGTTTCCACATCCCTGAATGAAACAGTTAACTTTCAGAAGAGATAGGACTTGTTTTCTTGCCAGTGAGGTTCAACTGTTTATCACAGGAGTAAGGCCTTAATGTGTTAAACCTCAAGATAACTTATGAAAAGAGGAGACCGGAAGCCAAAGACCTAGATTCTCTTTTCCTCTTGCCCCTGCCCCATAAGCCTTTGTTTTATTAGTTTTTTCTCGTTTCTGTGTTTCCCAAAGTATTTTGAAAGAAAACCAGCTTTAGGTGTTTAATTTCAAACTCAGTTTGTCAGACTTTAAAGAACACACTGCCAAATTTTGGCCGAAGTGTTAATTTTTTGGAAAAGCTTTCTATCATTTTGGCACTGAGATATTTATTGTTTATTTATCAGTGACAGAGTTCACTATAAATGGTGTTTTTTTTATAGAAGATAATTATCGGAAGCAGTGCCTTCCATAATTATGACAGTTATACTGTCGTTTTTTTTTAATAAAAGCAGCATCTGCTAATAAAACCCAACAGATACTGGAAGTTTTGCATTTATGGTCAACACGTGAGGGTTTTAAAAAACAGCCACGAGCCACATAAAATTATAAAGCTAAATATTGGTGAAGGATTCAATTAAATTAGGAGTTGCAAATCAAGTTAGATTTCTGTTTAGCCAACCAGATAAAAATGGCAGTTCTCTTAAAGGGAAGAACTTGTGACCAAGTTAATACATTAATGTCACTTAAAGGCTGTAATAGTACTCCTCTATCTGTGAAATTTTACAGCTCAGTTAATCCAAGGTGTAACTTTTAATTCGAATTTTGCAAAATTTCCAGTACCTTTGTCACAAACCTAACTCACATTATCGGGAGCAGTGTCTTCCATAATGTATAAAGAACAAGGTAGTTTTTGCCTACCACAGTGTCTATATCGGAGACAGTGATCTCCATATGTTACACTAAGGGTGTACGTAATTATCGGGAACAGTGTTTCCCATAATTTTCTTCATGCAATGACATCTTCAAAGCTTGAAGATCGTTAGTATCTAACATGTATTCCCAGCTCCCTTTAATTCTCTATCTTTTAGTTGCAGAAACATTTTATGGTCCTTAAACATTTGGTGGGTGAATTCAACCACTATAAAATAAAATTACTTCATTTGAGATTCTTTGCTTTTAAACCTAATGTAGTGTTTTGTCATATTTGTGGTTTCTCTAGGTCTTCTGTTTAGTGGGATCGTAGTCCACATTTACAATGTTTGCCGTTGACAAATGAATTTAACTTTATCTCCTTATTTGCATGTCATCTCCTGGAAACTTAGTTCATACAAGTTTGAATCCAGAATTGACCTTTTAGCTTAAATCGGGAAACTTGTATAGGAGGCTCAGGGGGCGGGGCGGGGAGTGAAACGTGTAGGGAAGCGAAGCTTGCAAAAGGATCCTCAATCATGTCTCCCTCCCCATTAGTATGTGGTGGTTTTAAGTTAAATAGAGATTTGAACAAATAAGTTTGAAGCTACATGAGTAAAAACTTCTAGTCCACCATCATTATAACCCTCGTAATCAGCTCTTTGTTATAGGGCAGTTCACCCTAAGAAACTGACGCCTAAAAAAAAGTCCATAGACTTAGCATTCCTTACCTAAGTTAACATAGGTCTAGATTATTACAGCCTCACTGAATTGTTTCACTGCTCGCAGTCTGTTTAGTCTTCATGGTGTTTTATCTTGAACTGGTGTTTAGTGTAGCTACGTGGAAAGGTCATAGCTGGGATTCCCGATTTGGGTATCATGCTTTACCACACTTTAATGAAAGCTTAGTAACTTGAAGACACACTCTGAATATGGGCACACATTTTACAGCAGTAGATCTCTTTAAAAAACCTCTTTTCTATGGTGAGGACTGAGTTATTTCTAACCAAAAAAGCCAGCAACTGGTAAGACACTTAATATTCCTGAGTGAAATGTGTATCTGACTAGTGACAACCTGCTGGACTTCAGATTTTGTCTGGTTATAGGTATCAGGTGCATTTTGAAGATAAAGGATAATTGAGCTCTATCATGATTCGCTATTCTAGAACTTGCATGACCTTTACTCTGTTTCCTCTTTGAATGTTCTTGAAATTTTAGTCTTACTAGACTTGCCAACCTACTGCTCATCGATACCTTTGTAAACAAGTGATATGCCCTTATAATTGTGTCCAAGCTGGTATGTGCAACAGTGTGGAATTTCTTTATCTGATTTAATAAAATGCTTCAACACAGAGTTGTCATTTTTTAAAAAATAGAGTTTATTGTTTTAGGGGATGCTTGGGTTCACAGCAAAATTGAGCAGGAAGTACAGAGTTCCCATGTACTCTCTGCCTGCCGCCCCCTGGCCCACCTCCTCCCACTGTCAGCATCTCCCTACCACAGTTCACGTGTCACAGTTGAACACACTTCGACATATCATTATCACCCAGAGCCTCTAGTTTACATTCAGGTTCACTCTCAGTGTTGTATATTTTATGAGCTTGAAGAAATCTATAATGAAACATATCCACCACTTATAATACAGAATACTTTTATTGTCTTGAAAAATCCTGTTCTCTGCCTCTTCATTTTCCCTCTGCCTAATTCCTGGCAACCACTGATCTTTTTACTGTCCATAGGTGTTGCCTTTTCCTGAATGTCATGTGGTTAGAATCATATAGTAGGTAGCTTTTTCAGATTGGCTTCTTTCACTTAGTAGTAATATGCATTTAAGAGTTGATAGCTCACTTTTTTTAAAGTTCATTTATTTTGAAAGTGCTTGCATGTGTGCAGGGTAGGAGAGAGAGAACCAGCAGGTAAGGGCAGAGAAGGAAGGGTGGAATCCTTCCTAACCAAGCTCAGACTCCCCAACTGAGATCATGACCTGAGCCTAGCGAGGTCAAGAGTCAGATGCGTAACCGAGCCACCCAGGCACCTGATAACTCACTTCTTTCTGGTGCTGAATTTTATTCCATTGTCTGGATATAACTTAGTTTATTTATCCACTTAGCTACTAAAGGACCTCTTCATTGCTTCCAAGTTTTGGCAACTATGAACTGCCAAAGTTTTGGTTGCCATAAACATAATGTTTTTAAAATGTGGACAGGTTTTCAGTTCATTTGGGTAAAGACCAAGGAGTACAATTGCTGGATCATGGAAATCGTACGCTTAGTTTTATAAGAAATTTCCAAACTGTCTTCCGAAGTGGCTGTACCATGTGAATTCCTGTAGCAGTGAATGAGAGTTTCTGTTGCTTCACATACTTGACAGCATCTGGTGTCTGATGTTTTGGATTTTGACCATCCTAATAGGTGTGCGGTGATACCTTGTTTTGATTTCCATTTCCCTATTGACATGAAGTTGAGCACCTTTTTATATGCTTATTTATCAAACATCTTTGGTAAGGTGTTCAAATCTCCTGCCCCTTTTTCTAATTGGGTTCATTTTATTTTTGAGTTTTAACAGTTCCTTGAATATTTTGGATAAACTACCATCATTTGTCAGATATGTGTTTTGCAAATATTTTTTCCCAGTCTACGGCTTATCTTATTTCTCCTGACAATGTCTTTTGCAAAGCATGAGTTTATAATTTTAATGAAGTCCAACTTAATTTTTATTTCACAGATCATGCTCTTGGTATTTTATCTAAGTCACTGCCAAACCCAGTGTCATCTAGATATTCTCCTGTGCTGTCTTCTAGTAGTATTACAGTTTTGCATATTAGTCAGGTCTGTGGTCCATTTTGAAATCAGCTTTGTGAAGGGTATGTGGTCTGTGTCTAGATTCATTTTTTTGCATGTGGATGTCCAATTGGTCATGAGTTTTTGTTAATAACTCTAGTCAGACTCTCCCCTCCAGAAATATGAGTTAAGTAATTTTAAATGTCCTTATAGCCACATTAAAAAACTAAAGAAATATGTGAAATTTTTCTCTATTTAACTCCATATATCCAAAATACTGTCATTTCAATGTGTATGCATTAAAAATTACTGCCAAGATATTTTATATCCCTTTCTTCAGTTAAGTCTTCAAATTCCAGTGTACTTCTAGCTTATCTCACTTTGGAATAACCACATTTCAAGGGCTCAGTAGCTACTTCTGGTGAGTGGACACTACTGCTATATAGCAAAAGGCATAATTGGTAGGGCTTTTTTTTTTTTAAACAGGTTTTCTATGCAGTTACCAAAACAATTTAATCTCATCACTACAAGTGTCAGCTAGGATCCTTCAGTATGATCGCAGGAATTGCAGCTCCTAGAATAAGGAAACTTTAATTGCTTCCCGTGTCCAAGCTTTCCCCTGTGAGAGTTAGTAGCCACATGCATATCCTTGAGGGAGAAGCAAGACAGTAATTAAACTGCTGTGTTCTATGGGGGGAAGTGCCTCTGAAAGATGGTGGGTGAGGAGACAGTCCTAAGCAACTATTTGAAGGCATCTATTTATTTGCAAGGTATACTTTCCCTTGGAATATAATACAGCAGATATTGATAGCTTCCTTATGGCTACCAGTGGGTTTACTTTTTGGGTGGTTAAGTCAGAGCCTTTGCCATTTGATACATCTGTCCTTTAAACTGTCTAATGCATCTCACATGGACTACTTTGTTAATACCTTTGTTGAAAATATGTACATACTAATTAATGGTCAATATGCAGAAGCATCTGATTGAAAAGTTTTTTTCACAATTTATCTTGCTCTCTTCAGTCATCAGTTTCTTGCATATACTTTCAAAGTAGTCTCTGCTTAAGTGAGAATGTCCATGAAACCTTCATAAAAGCACACATGGAGGAGGGGATTATTGGTTCCACTATCACAGTGGAAATCCCTACAAGCCAACCCTCTGACTGCTGACAATGATAAACTGGTTAAAATGGAAAAAAATTCTCTCTGCCCCTCCCTCCCTCCCTCTCTCTCTCTCTCTCAAAAATAAAACTTAAAAAAAGAGGGGGAGGCACCTGGGCGGCTAAGCATCAGATTCTTGATTTTACCTCAGGTCATGATCTCACCATTCGTCAGATTGAGCCTCATGTGCTCCACACTGATAGTGCAGAGCCTGATGGGGATTCTTTGTCTCTCTGTCCCTCCCTTGCTCCTGCACATGGGCTCTCTCGTTCTCTCAAAAGTAAAATTGGGGCTCCTGGGTGGCTCAGTCGGTTGGGCGTCCAACTTCAACTCAGGTCACGGTCTCACAGTTGATGAGTCCTGCATGGGCTCTGTGCTGACAGCTCAGAGCCTGGAGCCTGTTTTGAATTCTGTGTCTCCCTCTCTCCCACTCCCCTATTCACACTTTGTTTCTCTCAAAATTAAACATTAAAAAATTATTCTAAATAAACTTGTTAAAAATAGAAGATAAAAAAAACCAAGAAAACCACCCAGGGACTTTAAAAAGTAAATAAAGGCAAACAGACCAGGGAAGGTAGTAAAACCTGAAGTATTTGGCAAGAACAAAAAGAGGAGACAAATAATAGAATAGTGGGTATGCCGAAGTCCGACCACATCAATAATTATATTATTGACCTATTAACATTCTGATTAAAAGTCTGACAGTGGGTTAGGGGGAAAAAAGCTCATATGCTGCCTATAAGAAACACTTTATATTTTAAAAATATTTATTTTGGGGAGAGCACAAGTAAGGGAGGGATAGGGAAAGGGGGACAGAGGATTTGAGGCCAGCTTCCCAAGGACAGGCTTGACAGCAGTCAACCTGATGTGGGGTTCAAACTCACAAACTGCAAGATCATGACCTGAGCCAAAGCCGGGAGTTCAATCGAGCCACCCAGGTGCCCCAAGAAACACTTTAAAGACACAGATGAGGGGCGCCTGGGTGGCTTAGTCGGTTAAGCGTCCGACTTTCGCTTAGGTCATGATCTCGCGGTTCGTGGGTTCGGGCCCCGCGTCGGGCTCTGTGCTGACTGCCAGCTCAGAGCCTGGAGCCTATTTCAGTCTGTGACTCCCTCTCTCTCTGACCCTCCCCTGCTCATGCTGTCTCTCTCTCTCTCTCTCTCTCCTAGAAATAAAAAAAAAAAAAATTAAAAAAAATAATTAAAAAAAAAAATAAAGACACAGATGAGTTTAGGATTAAAAGATGGAAAAAAAATAGAACAGGCAAAATTAGCATGAGACTAGAGTGGCTGCATAAATGCCATAAATAGACTTCAATATTATATTTAATATTTCAGTATTCAATATTCCAATAATAGATTATTACCATAGATAAAAGTTAGGAGCATTTCATAATAATAAAAGGAACAATTCATCAAAAAGATAGTATAAATGTGTATGTGCCTAATACCCTTAAAATACACGAATAAAAAGTCTAAAGAATTGAAGGAAGAAACTGACAATTTTGCCATTGTAGATTTTTTTTTAAATTAAAAAAAATTTTTTTAAGTAGGCTCCATGTGGGGCTTGAACTCATGACCCTGAGATCAAGAGTCATGTGCTCTACTGACAGCCAGTACATTTAAAACACCTAGTTAGTAGCCAGTAGACAAATTAGGACAAAATATTTGAACCACTTTATCAGCCACTTCAATCTACTTGACATTTATAGAACACTACCTCCAACAACTGCAAAATACATTTTTGGGGTATGTATGGCATATTCATCAAGGTTGAACATATTCTTGGTTGTAAAACAAGTGTCAATGGAAGTATTGAAATTATATTCTCTGTATTCTCTGAATTGTATTCTCTGACCACAATGGAGTGAGAAATCAGTTACAAAATATCCAGAAAACCCCAAAACATCAGGAAATTAAGCCACATTTTTAAAAGTAATTTATGGGTCAAAGGTGAAATCACAAGAGAAATTAGATAAATTTGAACTTCATGATAATTACAATATAAAACATGTGGATGCAGGTAAAGCAGTAGAGATACACTGCTTAGTACAGGAGCCACCAACCACACGTGATTAAATTTAAATTAATTAGAATTAAAAGTTCTAATTTCTGGGGCAGCTGGGTGGCTCAGTCCTTTGAATGTCTGACTTTGGCTCAGGCCGTGATCTCATAGTTTGTGAGTCTGAGCCCCACATCAGGCTCACTGCTGTGAGCCTGTCAGTGCAGAGCTCATTTAGGTCTGTCCCCCTCTCTTCCCCTCCCCTGCTTGCAAAAAATAAACAAAAACATCTTTAAAAATCTAAAAAAAGAAGTTCAAATTCCTCAGACGCACTGACCACATTTCAAGTGCCCAGTAGCTACATGCGGCTAGTGGCTACTGTACTGGACATCAGAAAGTCGAATATTTCCATC